TTCATTTATTAATGATTTTATATTTTATATTTATAATATATATTTTGTAAATAAATTCGTCTTTTAATTATTAATAACTATTAAATTAAAATTACTAATATCTTTATTAAATTAATTATCTTTGTTTCCGAATCAAAGAAAATTTTTGTTTTTGTATTTGACTTTTCTACTTTCAATCTGATCTTGATATATAATATATTTAAATACGAAAGACACATTATATATAGAATATATATATATATATATATATATATATATATATCATGCGAGATAAGTCTGAATTTTTGAAGAATCTTTAAGGCTCGTGAAATATGAATATCTTGAGTCTACAAATTATTTACTAATATGTAACGAAAATGTTTATATACGCGTGCGTGCGTACGTCCCTTTTGCAAATACGTTTTCCTTCATTTCGACACGTTATTGTTGCATGGAAAATAATTTTAATTACAATACGAATACATTGTTCAAGCATGACCTTTTTATTCAAATAAATGCGTACAATGTATATCCGATATGGGATATTAGTGCTAAACCATTATTACATAGAAATGAAAATTTTCAATTTTTGGTTGAGCAACAATACTACGAAATCTGAAATCGTTAAATCATTTATGTTTTTTTTTTTTTTATCTTGCTTCGAGTGTTGGAAAGTGCGAGGCGAATCGAGGGCCGAGCACGTGTCAGGTAAAAGATAGGAAGTTCATTGTCACCGGATGTCTCCTCCCAAGTGGGGCATTCTTCTTCAAGGAAACTTCCCTTGGGACGAATTCGCGATATGACGTTTGGTAGACAAGCGGAAAGAATGAGAAATCTTCGTTCGTAATTGTTCTGATGGGGTGCGTTTTGGGAATTGATTTTGATACGAGAAACTCGGTACTTTGCCACACCATCAACTATTATTATTTATTATTTGCCACTTCAGTACATAGATCAGTTCAAATGAATTTCGTAACATTATTTTTTTCGCAATTGTCTATATTAATCTTCAACATAAAGGCAAGTAATAGCAAATCGTCTGCTGATTAAATTCCGCGGGAGTCGAATTTTAAGACAAATCCACGCGCAGGCATCGTAGGGACAATATTTGACGATGGCTGATTTGCATTAAATAAGGATGATTTATGGAACAATTGTACACGAGTCGTTTGACTCTGGAAAAATTTCGAAGATGTGTTCATAATCGCAATCGCATGAACGAGGGGAATATGGAATAAGAACAGTTGCGCCGACATGACGCCAATGCGGTGGTGACTCACTTCCTCTCTCCCTCGGACAAACTTGCATTTCACCCCGTCGTCGTAACTTCTTTCTTCCATCGTTCTCCCCTCCTTTCGTGCCTTTATTACTATATACACTTTGAAATATAATACACGATGATTGTAATAACTTCCGGCGAAGATGCGAAAGTAAAGTATGGACGCACTCCTCTAGTCTCCCGAAGAACGCTTTATTCTTCAATTTTTCAAAACTCTTGTTCCATAACGAATGATATTATGGGCTCTTAAATCAATATTAATTTGGAAAATTACTGCCACATTTTCATAAGCATCGTACTTTCTCATTGCCGCTTAGTTATGTATGTTAATTTATACGATATTGTTGCGCAACTTATTAGATTGATTTATCCTTAATAATTCATATGAAATTCCCGTACATCCACGAGATTACAATGCACGAAGGGAAGATGTAATTTTTTTTTTTTTAAATGTTATTACAAATTGTTTTTTTGAGACAGTAAAATTATAAAAATGCGGCATGCCATACACTTTGTAAGAACCTTGAAAAAAGAAAGTATGTTTCAACTAATCATAATTTTCGTATTATGATTTCTTTACAGACCTTAGAGGGAATTATTTACATTAGAAATGTCAAAGGCAAAATGTATGTTTGATTGGGTATGAATTTCTGTGTTTACTAATAAAATGTACGATATTTGAATAAATAGTGAATTATGCATACATACTGAACTTAGGCTTGACGTATGAAAAAAACGTAAGGTACATTACAATGTAATAAAGTATATAATGAAATAATTAATAGGTCGGGTGAAATTGAATCTTGTTATATTATTCTTCGGGTTTTCACATTTTCATACTGGTGCATTAAATTTTGTAAACAATTATCTTTTAAAATTGTATATATATATATATATATATATATATATATATATATATAAATGAGATAAAAATTTTCTAATAATAAGTAAAATTCATAATGAATATAAAAAATAACATTAAATGTAAAAAAGAAATAAAGTTTTAAGCTATGTGATTAAAATTATAATAGCTACTCTTATTGTATATATTATTGTTGTTTTTTTTTTTGTTTTTGTTTTTTTTTTTTTTAAATAGAATTATTAGTTCTTATGAATAGTATATTTTATTTTACTTTCATCTAATAGTTAAATTATTACAAATATAAAAACCAATCGCTATAAAGTGTACATTTATAGAATAAAACGTTTGACTATTCTTATAACTAAATACTCTTATCTTAATTACAAATAATTACAATAATAAGTAATACAATTTATATGCATTGTAAGTTCTTCTAAAATGTAGAACTTCATCGATTTATCTGACAACGACAATAATTTATAAACTTTACACATTCTTAAGTTGCCAGATTTAGGGTAAATTAGCCACGTATGGTAATTATTTAAAATTATTATGAAATTGTTAAACGAATGAGTATTTTCTCGACTAAATAAATTATGTTGCTTTTATATTAAATGGATAAAAAAGCATCATTGTCATTTAGTATTATTTTTACAAAAAGGCACTACATTACGACACTTTCATCATTATTGATAATAATGAAATCGATAGAAAAATAGTGATTTTATGTCTGTATAAAAGACGTATACGAGCCTTTCCAATTACTCAAATTTTCACACATTTAGTTGTTCTTAAGAATTTACGAAATTGTATTTCGCAAATATTTCACGATATTGTTTGAATCGATTGAAATTTATAACTTTAAACTAACGCTATGACTGATAAATATTTTTGTTCGTTTTCATCAATCAGATAATGTACATAAATTTGCAAATAATACAATTCAATGCAGATTTTACAATATGTCTCATGTAGATTCAGATGATAAGTGTCTAATTCGGAAATATTTCTAGTTTATCTTATCATTAAACGTCAATGAAATATTATAATGCTTGTATGAAATTTTGAATAAGACTTTCATAATTATGAAATCCCTGAATTTCATAAGCCTTCTTATATAATCACATAATTAATGTAATAAGAATTTAGGATTAGTGAACGACGCAATGTAATGGAATTTTTTCGATAATATTTATGTTTTGTTATATAAAGTTTAAACATGGCATGCGTGATTTTCTTAACATTTAATTGTATTAAAGTAAAATATTAAAGTACGACAATTAATTAAACTGCTTACCAAGTACAGTATATCTACTAAAAAAAAGTTAGAATTACTTTAATAATTCAAATCATTAAATTATTTAAAGTTATTTACTTTGGTGATTATTTATAAAAAAATATGTTTCATATCATCGGTATGCAGTGCATTGCAGTGTAATTAATTTAATACAATATCTTTATATTATTTGAATGATTGGAATATGTTTATATATTTAAATGGATAAATTAATAAAAAATACGATAAATAACTTTGCCTTGTATTTCAGAGTGAAAACACGTTTTGTAATGTCCTTTTATTATGTTTAATATGAGTTCGGTTTGTTGATTATCGTCATCGTTATTGGTATTATTACTATTATTACTACTGCTGCTACTACAAAAACTACTACTACTACTACTACTATTACTACTACTACTACTACTACTACTACTACTACTACTACTACTACTACTACTACTACTACTACTACTACTACTACTACTACTACTACTACTACTACTACTACTACTACTACTACTACTACTACTACTACTACTACTACTACTACTACTACTACTACTACTACTACTACTACTACTACTACTACTACTACTACTACTACTACTACTACTACTACTACTACTACTACTACTACTACTACTACTACTACTACTACTACTACTACTACTCTAAGCTACTACTGTTACAGCAACAACAGCAACAACAACAACAACAACAACAACAATTATTATTATTATTATTATTATTATTATTATTATTATTATTAGTATTATTATTATTATTATTATTATTATTATTATTATTAGCAATATTACAATTGTTAACATTGATACAGTTGTACAAAAGCAGATAATGGCTGTATGTATGAATAGTATTGTACTTTTGTTCCATTTTCATATTTATAATTTGTGTAGAAAGTGACGGACAGTTCATGTGGAATTCCAAAACTTTGGAATACGAGAAATTTACATTTAAGAGATCACCTTCATATAAGGCAAAGCGATGTACGCGATACTTTTATGTTAGAAAAGTAGTACAATATATAGGATGTAAATGTGGCTTGCATTCAATAATTCTCTATTGGAGAATTTAAAAATTCCTCTCAATTGTCAAAAACTTCCTCAAACGCTTGATTTATTTTTAAAAATCTTACAATCTTGGTGAATAACCGCGATCCACTTACTTTCAATTCCAATTCGCGGTACCGGCACAGAGTAAATTTTGTACATTATTACCGCAAATGCATAAACAAATTAAATTATCTTTCAAAAAATAACGCACAGTTTATGTGTGTCCAAGTGGATGCGTACAGAGGTAAGTAGAGTCGAAGAAGATTTTTTGTTAATAATATATCGAGAATGAGCGCGGGGGAGGGGGGAGGGGGAGGGACGAGATTATTCGTGTTTCACGATCAGTCAACATGAATAAGCTGTAATGGCAATCGTGAAAATTTCAAAGCAGAAAGCAATGGACCGCGAAATTATCGACGCCTCGCGTCGTCGTTACGGAAGATCGGCGCCTCTCCCAAAAAGGAAAGGAAGTGGGAAGGAGGCGACGCGAGGCGGGATTGGGTCTGGGAGGTGGATTGCGTGGCTGAATTAGTGTCCAAGCCCAAGCTGAGGTAGACTCAAGGGATGGAGGATGAGGCAGAGGAGGACGAGGCCGAGGGCAGGGAGGGCTAGGGGTTGGCCGCTTGAGTCCCTCTCGAGAGCGAAGCCGATGGCTTGCATCAGGGGGTACTGGTAGTCTTGAGCGTCGACGTGGTTGCGTCCGTGGGTCGGTCGGCAGTCGCCCCGGAAGTCGTCCGTATCGATGCTCCAGATCATCACGCCCCCTAGACCCTTCCGCATCGCCAGTCGTACCTGTATGACAATGTCAAAAGTCAGGTCGGACGTTTCTGAGCCCGCACCCTTCATCGCGTTTATTCGTTATATTCGTTGGCCCGTGCTGCGCTCGGTTGTGCGCGAGCGAGATAATTACTTTTTAATTGCTCGACACTTGGACAATGATTTTCATTGACACGTTTGAAAGGTCTTTTAATGCTATGCGGGTCTGTCTAAACGCGTCTAGCTTGTTTGCTCGAAGTGCATCGAGGCGTCGCGCGTTTAATTAAAGCATAGCTTCGGCTATCCGAAAAATCATTCGAATATATTTAAATAATTTTAAGGAAGCCAATAACATTTTACTCATAAAGATTTTATTTTTATTTTGATTTGTTATTGAAATGTTTGAATATATTTTTATCAAAATTTGAATAAAATCATTAGTTGTAATTTAACTTTTAACTTTTATACACATGAATATTGTTTAGAATAGAAGTTATAATAGAACTTTTTACAATATTTATCCTTTAGTATTCCAATTCGTAAGTGATTAGAATAATAGTGAGTCAGAGTTTATTATTTCAGTCATAATTCAACATTTTTAATAATATTTCTTTCAAAATACCCTGCAATTTTTATCCAATTAATCTATTTCGTTCTACTTATAATTGTAAAAAAATTAATTATTACTCTTCTTTTTTTTTTCTTTTTCTTTTTTTTTTTTTCAATTGATTTTTCAATCGATTTCACGTATTTCAATATGTAATAGGAAATATCATGAGTGTGAGAAAGAAAAAAATATTACCTTAGCTTGCAAACTTTTTGCATTGTCGTACACAATGACTCTATGTTGCATTATTGCGTATGGTGTACTACTCAAATTATCCCACTTATCGATCCAGGAGCCATTCGATAGTAAATATTTACAGATCTGCAAATTAATGATATTTTGTACTTTCGATCAATTATGTATCATTGATTGTCTTAGAAATTATATCGACAATTTAATAACGTAACTGTACGACAATTAATTTTGAAAATACGTTTTCATCAACATACTTCGTTATAACCCATGAATCCTTCTTGAGTGTTGTATGGGCCTGACCAACTATTTTTTAAACTAGGTTTTCCAATCGGATTTTCCTCTTGTGATCTTAATGCTGTTGCGAGAATGTAGCTTCTTCCGTATGTCGGCAGACCCAAAATAAATTTTCTTATTGGTGCACCAGATCGTACCAGATAGTCCAAAGTCTTGTTCTAATAATAATAATGAATTTTGTATTCATTTATTACGACATTATTTGAAAACATTGAATAATGACTTAATGCAACAATGATGTTCGAACTGCTAAATTCGATAGATTAGTAGTCGTTAGAATAAGAATATTATGTAAGAATTTAAAATTTTGTCTTTATTAAAATTTGTAATCACGCTGGCAAATACATTGACTGACTATAAATAAATAATTTATAATTAATGATCGTTCGATCTAATGGAGCACTCTAATAGTCTTTGTGATTTTCCCGACTTTTCACTCTAAGCTATTTCATAATGGCATAGTATAAGGCTAAAGTAGAAGAATAAACTAATAAATTTACGTTCATACATAATATGAATGGCGTAGGAGCAACTAAATCAACGATACAAACCACTTCGTCTAAGGGAGCATTGGGCATAATGACTCCACCTTCAAGAACATGATAATCGTAAGTCATGACGTGAATGTAATCCAGGTACTCGGACATCATCCTGATGTCGTAGCGCCTGCCCATGGATTCTGTGTCGGCAGATATGACCGCCGTTAGCAGGAAGTCATGTTCCCTGAAGGCTCGTTTGAGGTCCTGCAATTTCGCACAATCGTTTCATCAAATGTGAATAATCCTGTGCGCGTGCCTATATCCTCTGATTCCCGACGAGTACATTCAATTCGAAAATTTCGTTTCAAAGAAAAATTTTGATAATACAATTGATTCTCTTTGATTCTCTTTGATTCTCTCTAGATCGTAAGTAGATATTACTCTCTCTCTCTCTCTCTCTCTCTCTCTCTCTCTCTCTCTCTCTCTCTCTATTTATTTTAATATATTCTCGATATATTTATTTCCAGGAGATTTACAGCATTGATATACATATGTATTTAATTAATTAAAATGCTATTTAATTATTTTAATGATGAAGATGTACATAAACAAAACAGCTTCTTTCTCATTCGTCACTTTGTAATTTTGTGAAAGAAGTCAATATTTATAGAACCATGAATTTTAATGAATCATGGACAAAATTTTTATTAATACTATTATTATTATCGTTATTATTATTGTTGTTGTTGTTGTTGTTGTTATTATTATTATTATTATTATTATTATTATTATTATTATTATTATTATTATTATTTGGTACCAATATAAACTCTTTTACTACATAAAATTATTATAATTATACAGCTTTATCGTATAATTTTATAAGAACTATTTTTGCATTTCAAATAAATATATTTTAAATTATTAACTTCGCAAATGTTGCAACTAATAGTACGGTATTATCTATAATAATGGTCGGCTTAATGTCATTACTGCAATTGTTACAATAACGCTATCCGCCAAATCGTTTCCTTTTAACAATCAAATTGTTCTATACATGATATATGCTTTGCCCATTAAAATGTAAAATCAAATTGTACAATTATTGTTTACATTTTTCGATCATTGCGAATATGTCTCTGATATATATATAAAAAAAAAAAAAAAAATTAAAAAAAAATTGTTAAAGTACATCGGCATCACTATGAAAAACTATAAAGGCAATTATATAGATTGTACACAAGTTTATTATGCGACTTGGGATTATCTAGCTGACCGCAGTAAAAAATTCGACTTTATATTTCAAACGTGGCGTAGCTCACAAAATCTATCATGGAAATGTGTAATCTTAACGTCACTGGGGTCATTTTATGCCTCGTCTATGAATAAAAGGGGCAAGAAGTTAAGAGGAAAGCCAGTCGCACTATGCGCGGCACTCGAAAGCGAAACACGAAAGGCGAGTTGAAAGGCGAATGACGCGTAGATAGATGCGAGAGAGAGAGAGAGAGAGAGAGAGAGAGAGAGGAAAGTGATTGATACGAGCCATCGGTGGCAAGGGGATGCGACTACGCTCACTTTGTCTCGGGGCATGACGAGTTCTTCCCTCTATGCGCTACGCCGCTGGACGACGACGAGCAAACATTTCTTTTGTTTGGTTTTTCTTTTCATTTCGCCTGATTTCGATTTCATGTCCGCGAATGCCGGTCTCCCATTGTAAGAGTGAACGAGAACGGACTGTTTCGCTGATGCATGAATTCTCGATGCTAGACTTTCTTCCGCCGAGTAGTTTAACCGAATGACAGATAAGCAGCCGCACAAAGCGCGATAGAATGAGAGAGTGAGAGAGTGAGAGAGGTATATACATATTTTCTGTTTATCGGATGCGAAAATATTTTCGCTTTTAATGGCATAATTATAATGGCATCTCTGGACATATAATATTTTTGTACAAATACGAGTGCTATAAAAATGTGAATCATAACACTGAATATTGTAAGTTGGCTAACAAAGAAATTGGATTTGTAAAGCAAATTTGTAAAGCCGTGAGCTTACGAAGAGACGACTCCTTGGAATTTTGTTGAATAAATTAAAGATCTTTAAAGATTGGCGTTTATGTGCCATTATTAGATAATAGACTTAAGCACCTTCGATCGAATAATATGAGCATCATAGCGATAATAGTGCCGATGAAATTATCAAGGGAAATGCCGTAGGTTTTTTTTTAATGGCTGAAATGTCGTATTAAATTAAGGCGAATATATATTTTGATGGAAGTACTCCCTTTGGACATTACAAAGATTCGGGATATTATATTTTTACGAACAAAGCCAAATCATCGAAAAGAAAAATGACGCATAGTTAAGGATACGAGCGTAAATACAATTCCATTTTCGAATTGGTTACGCTTCCGTGTGCGATGCAGCTTAGCTCATTGGCATTTGATCCCTCTGAAAATACTAATGCTTATCGATCAATACGAGACGATCGACGCTACGCGCATTATATATGGATTTCTACGGAATAATAAATTGCTCGCTCCCTGGCAATAATCTGCCAAGAGAAGCATCGAATCGTTGAAGAGAGGATCGTTTTATCGCAATCGTCCACCAGTTTTCTAAGGATTTTATCAACGAACGCATAATGCTTGCGTACCTGCAGAAGAAGTATGTAGTTGTGTCTATCATAATCGGCTCCACCTCTCGCTGTTGGGAATTCCCAATCCAAGTCGAGACCTTGGAAGTTGTAAGCTCTGTAAGATGTGCGCAATCGTTTATCGAAGGCTTCTTTGCTTATCCTCATTAATACGTACAATGCTCGACTATAATTGCACTTTCACACGAAACAAGAATTATTACGGATATTAAAATCTACGTCTATTATTATATACGTCGATGGTAATAACCGTTTTAACAAAAGAATCTATTGTATTTTGAAACGTGACGTTTCTGTAAAAGAAAACAAATCATTGATTTGGATGTTTCGTGCGATTAATTATTAGGCGAGAGAATAAACTTTATCCGTTGCTTCGACGCTACTGTACGAACCGTAAAAAGTGAACAACGCTGTTGACGAAACGTTTTCGATGCTCCGGATACCTGGCCATCTCCGAATAGTTGTAACTTCCCTCGTTCCATCCTCCAATAGCCAATGATACCTTCAGTCCTGGATGCTGATAGCGTAATTGCGTCAGCTTCCTGTAGCCATCTTTGCCTGTAGAAAATGTTTCTTTGCATATAAAACGATTATCAATAATAGTTTCTTTTTTAATTTTTTTCATGTATTTCATCAAGCATATTTTACACACAAATAGTCAAACGGTTACATTGGAGCACTGCTACTTTAAGGTTCTCATAACATTAATTTAATTATGGATGATAAAAACAACTATGAGCACACTCGTTTCCTATTAATCAGCATTTAAATGAAATGAAATGCAAATAATTTATCAGAACGTTAGCGCAATAAAACAACAAATAATTAATATGTTTTTTTTCATCTATAAGACGTTTTAACGCAGACTTTATTGAAAGATAGATAAAGTATTTATCCGTAATTTTAAAGAAATCGTACTTCACGTAACGAGCAATAAATAAATTGAAGGAATTTCATCAAATACATAAATATAATTTTCCTACATTCAATACATGAATTTTTACATCCACTTGTTTATATATATATATATATATATATATACAAATATATATAGATACGAAGTTTTATGTTTGTAATATGTATAGTACAAAAAAAAGTGCCAAAGTGCATGCAATATTCGTTAATGAAAATATAAAAAATACATTCTATTTATAATATACATTATAGGCTATTTTACTGAAAAAACTATGATTGATTTGGCAAATATTACTATAATTTTTTACATACACACACACACACACACACACACACACAGAGAGAGAGAGAGAGAGAGAGAGAGACACACACACACACACACACACACACAGAGAGAGACATACACACATCTAAGCATACTATGATTTATATGATTATATTAAAAATACTTGGTATTTTAAAGGAGGAAAATTCTGGAAATGATACTATTGTATTATTATTCTATCTAAAATAATTCTACATTAATTTACTTCTTTAGATGTCTATGCCTACAGCTTAGGAAAATTAATAATTTCGAGATTTTATTTATAAACGAAGAGTTAAAATTTTGTTAGTTAGATGTAGTTATAAAGAAATTTTAAACGTTCGATTGTTCCTTATGTCCTCCTTACATTTCTCATACAATGTCAATTATATTTCATCCATATCTTAATAATCGAGTAATTGCACTATACCCTTCCAATTGCAAAATCAATCAGAATGGCAATATGTATTATTATTATTATTATTATTATTATTATTATTATTATTATTATTATTATTGTTATTAAATTAATGAATTAATTAAAACATGTAACGAGCAAATACAAGTAGCGCGACCCGTAAAACGGCATTCGATCGTATGAAATATGACAGTTGAAAGAGGCAGGTAGCGGAATGTTTGCTCAAATGCCACAATAAACAAAATGTCTAATCCCATGAAATAGAAATCATTAAAATTGTCCAAATCAAAATCATAGCTAATCAGTATATTTATCGAGCGAAGTATTAGAAAAAATTACTCGAAATAACATAAATAGACGAAATAGATTGGGGCGGTGGGCGGAGGTGGGGGGGGGGGGGGGTTGGTTAATGTATCTTCGCCCAATGCTATCACGCCTAGGCGGACGTCCGATTTCGTTCTCGGATTGCAAAACAAATCGATCGATCGAAACCCCATGCAGCACAATTTCTTATCAATTATCGAGTATTTTATAATAGATCTGGTGCTTACCATTGTGATCGTCTAAATCGGCCCAGGGATCGAGACTCTTAATTTGGAAGGTCGTGCCATTGAGACCGGCGAACGAGTAGACGAGGTGGGTGCAGTACTCGGGCTTGATGTCCTGGATTTGGAAGACTCCGTCGCCGTTCCGGAAAATGGCCCAGCTCTGGAAGTAACAGGCGACGTATTTCCCGTGGCTTGGCTTCCTTCCATTATCTGCGAACACGTGGTCGGTTCTGGATTAGCAGGCTCGACCGATGCTCGTCATTTCCGTTATTGATTTTCGCTTGGTCGATTTTCTCCCAGCCGCCGGGATTTTTCCGCTTATCGTGAGTAATGCCCCCGGAGCTATATTTGCGTGAGCCACGCGTACACGAGATGATGCTACGATAGCGGTGGGGGAAAGGCAGCGTAAGGGAATTAATAAGTAGGCTCCTGCGGGTGCATTTACGAGTCAGCTAGTGACGAGGGTAACCGAGAGGCTCGCGGTTATTTTTCTTTAACGCTTAACGGACGATTGTAATTTTAATAGGTAAATCCAGGCCGCCCCGAATGTCACCTGCCCCATTAGATCAAGGCTACTTTGTAAGCTCCGGAAACTTAAAATCAGTTTTTCGAGCATTGAAATATTATGATTGCCATTTGATCCTAAATTCGTATGAATCATCAACGGTTACATAGATTAATCAACTCTGTTCAATCGACCATAATTAAAGGAATTAAATAATTTAAAGAAATCATTTCGAAGAATTTGTTCATTATAATGAAATGTTATTGTTATTAGCTTAGGCTCTACTAAACCAATCCAGCGGCAACGGCATGATATTAATTGCAAATCATTAACCATTGCACCTCTCAATGTACCATTTTGTAAAAATTTCGTCGTTTCGTACAAAACGATTCATAAGCAGCACTTGTGCATATTTCATATGGCATATTAATTGTGGCTACGGAGTTTGGTCATCGAGAAGAATGTCAAAAAAAAAAAAAAAGAAAAAAATGTTTATACACTTTTCTTGATGAAAATTAAATGAGGTAAGGAATACGACTTTTAAGTCGCTTAACTCGAATTAAATGGAATTCCAACTTTACGAATGAAAGTATAAAAGTAAAAGGAATTTTTATGCGAATTTTTTATGACTGTCGGTCGTTGAAGATTTTTCATACTTTTAAATTGATATATCTACGAGATGGCAAAAAAAAAAAAAAAAAAAAAAAAAAAAAAAAAAAAAAAGACACGTTACGACTGAAGCTGTTCGAACTTTAAGCGGCATTTTCTTATATTTGGTTAATAAATTGAAATTGCCAAGAGAAGAATAATAAGAGATTAAGATCTTTAAAAATAAAATACAACGTTGATATTCCGTTGAGGACAAAGCGCACCAATAACATCTCATCGATGATTTCGAACTAAACTTTTTTTTTTCCCTCTCATAACCAACTTTATTGGAATATTCATTGGAAAGTAGTCGTTAATAATTACGAAATGTATGGTACTGTTACGCACGTATTAATAATGGAATAATAACGAAACTGCCGGCACAAGGTCATAATGTCGGCGAGGGTGGTTGGGGGATGGGGGAAGGGAAACGCGTCAGGGACCCCGCGAGGGTAACGTTACGTTTTGTCCCGAAAGCCCATGAAATAGAAAAAAGGTGAAATTATAAAAATGAAGGGCGGAGCGAAAGCGAGCTGTCGGGAAAAGTGGCTTTCCCAGCGCGAGCCCCGCATATC